AAATTTTTGTGGGCTGCCTTATATTTTTTTCCTTCACAAATCCTGCAATCTTTGGACTGTTTTTATTGCACAAACTAGAACTGGAATCTTTAAGCTCTTTGGAACAGGAGACTGGAGCATTTCTTATAGCAATTTGTCAAAATATTTGCACCATGTTAACAGCAGATTAAAACTACCAATGTAAAATGTATGGCGAAGGTAGTTTTTACTGCATTCGGTTACTGTAAATGACTTGAAAGACTGAGAATTATAAGAGGAGCAAGCGAGATTTAATTCCCACTGAAGGTCAGCAGCAGGTAGGAGACAGAGTCCTTTAACTTGAGGAAAGTCCCAGCCCAAGTAAAACGTGCCTTTGAAACTGCACGCTCTGGAAAATTGAAGGAGGAGTGGCCATACGTAGATCTTGGTGACCTTTCAGCTTAGACACTGATCGTCCTTGGGCCAGATTTGCCACCTGAAGTTCTGGCAGTGCACAGAGGCTCTGCAGATGCACAGAGATAAGGGAGGAAGTGTTGAGCCACCTCCGTGATCTGCGTGTGCGTGCACGTACACGCGTGTGTGTAGCAGTGAGCAGGCGTAAGCGTGGGTTGCCGCTGTGCCACGCAGTGCAGCAGTCGCCCTCTTCTCCCTGCAAATCCTACATGCCGCACGTGAGGGCTGCGGGAGCTGCGCAGTTTTGAGGCGCCTGCACCATAACAATGTACTGTTCCACATCTGACACTGCCGCTTAATTTATGCAGGTGTAAAATCCTCCATCGCATTCTAAAAATATAATGCACAGTAACTTTGATACGAGTCTGTTACAATGATAAACTGTAATGTGGGAAGAATTTGTCAAAGCAGGTTCAGTGCTTTTGGTTCCCAGTTATTCCCTGCTGCCCTGAAACTTATCCATAGCAAGTCAAATACATTTTTGACAAACACACCTACGTATCATCTGCAGAGGCTAGAAATGTCCTATCCAGTACAAATTTTTTCTCAGTTCTACAAGGTAATGATATTGGCCTTACAAAGGAGGCTTTGCAAGTCAATAACCCACACTGGTGGATATTTCTCTTTTCATGGCGTTCGTCTAGTATTATTGAAGAATGAGACAGCCAACTAATTTGTTCTATAGCCCGTTTTCATGACAGGTAGCAGAATGAGATCACTTTGCTTTGCTGGGTATTTCCAGCAAGAGCTATAGTGAATGTATCCCACAGAGAAGAAGAATTCAGAAGAGAGAAGAAAGAAGTGGAAAGGATCTTCTAGGACTGTGTCTAAACAGCCAATCCGAACCTCAGTGCCAGTTGATACAGGAGATGATAGTGTAAGAATTAAGATAGGTGAAATAGAGGGCAGTAGTTTGCTAATAAGCTCTGTCTCATATCTTTACTATTATTCTTTACATCTGGATATACAACCTGACTATCAAAAGCTTAATGTGATATTTGACTGACTGACTCTGTGGTTGTGGTTTTTTTCTTTATTTCCTCTGCGATGCCAAATAGCTCTCCCCACCACCCTAATAATTAGATGACATATGCATGAAATTGGGTCAGTTCTGGAATTCAGACTTCAAGACCAGAGGGGACCATTAAGTAATTTAACCTGACTTCCTGCCCAGTGTAGGCATCTCATTACTCCCAATTGCTTCTCTGTTGAGCCAAATAAATTCAGTTTGACTAAGCTTCTTCACAATATTCCATGTTGGTCTTGAAGACCTCCAGAGATGGATGTCCATTTACAGCAGTGCATTGCATGAGCTAGTCACATCTGTGTCTGATTTAGTGCTCACATAGGAAGTGACCTTCAGGAGACGTGATGGTTTGGAAATTGGCATGAAAGTGTGAAAGTCGAACAGTCTGAGGTTTGCCAGCCTGTTTGGTGTTTGAACTTAGAGATGGTCTGAAATGGAGGAAATAGGTTTGTGCTTTTAAATGCATTATTTTATCTATTTTATGTCAAAATTCCAAAGTTAGTGAGGCTGAACAGAAAAGAATCAGATTTTTTGGAAGTGTTTGTAAGCATATGCTCACACAAACACGTAGCTTTTCCTAATAAGATTATTTTCCACTTTTTTTTTGTGATATTACAATATGAGATTTTTTTCTATCCTGTTTTGCTGAAGCCAGTCCTTGGAGGAGACCCAGTCCATATGAACTGGAATCTCCATCTACTTTTTAAATGCATTTCAAGCTTCTTCAGAGAGCTCATGTTCTAGATGTTTACTAGATAGGTGAGTTTTAAAAAAAAAATAACAAGAGAAGTAATCCTGAGGCTTTAAATCTAAATGAAAATCTTTCTACATTTCTTCAAATTCTTTTTACTCTATCTACAGTTCTAATTGTTTGAATTTTCTACAAAAGACTGGTTTACCCAAATTTTTTTTTTTAAGAAAATAAAACTTAAACTTTCACACCTTCCTCAAAGCCATAAAAGAAAAAGACGAAAATCTCTTCCACATGTGCCCTCTATTTTTTTAGATGGTTGTGTTGAGGTGTAAAGAGTTCACAGTAGCTGTCACTGACTTTGTTGGTTGCTGAGGTGGACACATCTACTCGAGTCAGATAAAGACCGTTCTAGGAAACACACAGCCTCTGCATTGCAGAAATGGATGTTAGTAGCATTCTGGTCACCAGTAGATCACAGAAATTGTAATTCTCCTATTATTATCTCCTATTCTGATGAGAGGTTTATTTGCCAACCTGCGGGAATGGAAACTTCAAAGGAAGAGGGGTTTTTTTGTGCAGTAAGTCGAAAGGAACTTTTGCTACTGCTAGTAAAAAGGAAAAACGTTGCACTTTCCTCTGACCCTTCCACCCAATACATTTTAGTTTAAAAGCTAGCTGCTGTATCTCTGGCACTCACCTGGCCTCTGTTAGTGAAATGTCTTGGTATTTTACAAACTTCAGTGTCCTATTTCCCCCTCTTCCCTTCCATCACTTTTTTTAATAGGTGGAGAACAGAGGCATAGGGAGGCGCTAGAAATTGAGCAGAATTACTTATTCAGTCTACTCTCCCACCCTGTTCAATCCTCCTTGTAAAGTATAAGCTCATACTTTACGTTTGCAGAGCAAATGGTACTGCAAGGCATAGCACAGTAACTAGAACTCAGTAAGTCTTTGCTATTTTAACCCACTTTGACTCAGCTTCAGTATTTTGGATTTATACTCTTACTGAAAGATTGCTGAAGGCCTTGATAAGTCGGAATGATCCAGTGGAGCATTGCTCAGGGCAGCGCTGCTGCCTGGAGAGGAGTTTGGGGCTGAGTTCTGACGTGTTGTCCTACTTATAGGCGCTGTTGCTGCCGAAGCGCGAAGGCATAGGAATTTGCCAGCTAAAATCCTTGCTTTTTTCCTTCTCACTTTAAATTGAAAAGGTTGAGCTAATTTCAGGCTGATTCTTCATCTCTGCCAGTTTTCAATCCCAAAATGTTCATGTATGTTTGATTAATTTGTTGCCATGGTGTAAGCCTGGGAATAAGGAAGCTCTCCCGTTCAGAATCCAAATTCCAGTATGTTTTCTTCTCCCAGTTGTGTCTGTCTGACCTCCCTGCTTCAGTTTCCTCTTCCCTGGAAGGGAAGGTACCTAATTTCCTTTATAGCGATATGCATGTTTTACTTGCTGTTGTAGGTGAAATGACTTATTAACAACAGAGGAATTTTTTGCTTTGTTCTGAAGCAAGTTATACTGACCGTGTCTGCAATCTGAACAATGTGCCCAGACTAATGACTTGACATGGCCTTTCCAATGTCCAATCCACAAGCAACAAGGGTGTACTCAGGAACGTGCACTAGGCAGGAACTGTGTGTTCCTCTGCTTAAATGAGGTTCTTCCTGTTAACTTTTGTTCCTCTGACTTAAATACTCTGTGCTCCGATCTGACCGCATAAGAAACGGTTTCCATGCTTGTGAAGCTTCCAAGAGTAGCGACAATGCAAGGAAATGGTATACCAAAGGCCATGTGAATTAGCCAGGAGGAAAGTCTATTAGGAGAAGAATGGAGAACCGTTCTTCCTGATCGTGCCTGTCTACTGAGCACCAAAGTGGAAAATGTTAGTTCCCCTGTCCTTTTCCTAAGAAGTGGAAACTCTCCATATTTAGACTTCTGGATCCCAATGGCCTTCTTTTTTTGCCGTGTATTTCTTAGGCTGCAGCGGATATTGGGTTAAAAGACCACGGTCACTCTCGTAGCCTATGCTTGATTTGTCTGTCTAGTTTGTATGCCCTTTAGGCAGACATGGACAATGAGTGGCTGACTTAATATGACATTACTGTATCATAATAGTCTTTCCTAGCGTCTGTTTCTGAGAAGTTAAATCAATTTACTCACTATTAAGTAGATAGTTTCATTTGAATGTTTAGGTCTCTGTTGAATGTCTTAAGTTCTGCTAAATAAAAGTTGCTTGTCTTGATCTGTTTCAATGTGATGATCAGCATTTTAAATTTGAAAAACTGTCACCATTAAGCTTCTAATTTCATTGCTCATGTTATGTACTTTTTCATGATACTATGTTATGTATCTTTTATCTCAGGACAAGAATGTTTATAAATGAGAATTCACTGAAAGCATTTTTCTTAAAATAACATTCTAAATATGTCTTTTAGTGACACACAGCATTTGTTTCTTCAGCTACCCCACTGGGGATAAATGCGTTATGTTCACTGTGCGCAGATCGCAGACACCTTCTATGCAGGCTGAGCAAGCTGTCCAGCAGCACCTTTCTGAGTTGCAGACCTGTACGCTCCTGCAACTTAAGCTTTTTGCTTGTGCCTTTTTGTTCATGCAAAGTAGTTTAGGCTGTTCAAAGGATACCTGCTAAATTATCAAAGTGTAGCCCTTTTAGAAGCATGGTGGGTGGATGTAAACAGTAGTTATGCCATAATTCGTTTGTGATGATTCAGCTTAAGTCAAACGGTTTCTAGCTCCCTTCCGCTTAAGTGTTGACCACTAGATTTCTGTTGGGATGAAAGAATCTTGAGGAATGACTAATTTTTCTGCATTTTACTTTCAACTAGCTGCCGCAACCTCCAGAAACGGAAAGCCCAGTAGAGGTGTGTCACCCACCTATATTTGTACAACAGGCAAATATTGGTGTGTTGAAGTAGTCTTGGTGGAGTGTCTTGTTGGTAGAAATTTGTGAAATGTGTGTTTCTGTGTGGTATAGACAGTGGGAAAAATTAGCAGATTTCTTCAAGTGGTTCAATCCAATACACCATCAGCCTGATAGCCAGAAATACTCCCTCTATATTAAAGCGTGTAAGCCGATCCCAAATCTTTGTCCCTAGACAAAGTAAGGGACCCAAAGGCCAATGGTTTAACCAGCCCAGGGTTGGACTGGTCAGGAAACGGAGGTGGCAAAAGAAGTTGGTGGAAACTTCGTAATCCCAGAACTGCTGGGTGTCCCATTTAAAGTGACATAGTGAAACAGTTAATGGTGACTTGACTTCAAGTTTACTAGCTCTTCTGTGAATTGGGTATTTAGGCACGTTCCATTTGAGGTAGCTCAACATCACTTCACATAAAACAGACTATTTGCCAAAAATGAGAAATAAGGATTTATAAAAAACCTTGAATTGTTTTGGAATTAATGGGACATCCAGAGATGGTGTTGGTAGATTATACCGCTGCGTAATATATCACTGCATATCTAATTAAAGCTATATGAATGTCCAAGTGTAGGAGGCTGTTAGATTTGTTTTGAAATCATGAAGAGGAAAAAAAATGCAGTTTATGGTGTTTTGTACTTTTTTATTAGTAATTTTTGTGGAAGACTGTTTACATGTAAACTGAAACACTCAGTGGTCATAGAATGACTTTGAGATGTCAGGGATGGCTCCTGGTTGAACGTACGTGCCTGGATAGAGCAGTAGTTCCTCCGTGTTTTCAGAATGTTTTCTAAGAGATGGGAACTTGACATGCTCTGGGTTTACAAAGTGCAAGTTCTAATCTGTGGTAAACTTCTGAAAATTTGCTTCTTTTAGATACTTAATATCTGAAATAAGAGAGATTTGATTTGGAAACGTGCCAAGGGACTTTGTTCATTAAATCAGAGTAAAGCCCCATTGAAGTCTTGAAACACAGCCACGGTATTGGAACAAAAACCCTATAGGTTTTGACAGAGGCCCTCCACAGTCTCAAGAGAGCTTCACTGACCACATCTGGATATGTTAAAGTACCTACACGTCTACCAGAAAGAAGTTTGTGTACAGTGGGCAGGGGTGTCTGTGTGTGCGTAAGTGTGTGTATACGTGTATATGTATGCATGGGCATAGTGCATGGTTTGAGTTCTTGAAAACTTTTGTGTTTCCAGTAACTAAAATGAGATAGACTTTGTGTTTTCTTTAAATCCCCGAGAATGTGTTGGCATACGTGCATGCCATGAGTGGTCTGCTGGAGAGCGTCAAAGCAGACTGGTTGAGTGCTGTCAGAGCTAATTAAGGCCTGATGTTTAGACAGCTTGCCAGTGGATCTTCCTCATCTCCCCCCTTGTTTTCAGCTGTGACTTTCCTTAATATTTTCTGTGAGTGCAAAGATGTTAGTGTCTCTTTAGTATTGCTCTGCTTTAAAATGAAATTTCTGCATGCGCAGCAGGAGCTTGATCAAAGTCTACCACAGAGGCAACTGGAGGATCATAGAAGGGTACGTACAGCAGTAGAGCACGCATAGAATTAATCCTTTTAATTTTTTCCTTTTAAATGGGGAAGTGCAAGTCACGTAGGAACCTTTTGTGGTGGTTGTCAATCTCCTAGAAAGTCTAAAACTAGCAGCTCTGCTTATGATACAAGATACAGGGGCAGCTCCCATCATATTAAATGGAAGGGGTGGGTGCTGGGTCGCTTAGGATTAAACCTCAGATCCTGATCTAGTCTCTTCACACTTCTAAAATACTCCCCTGTGGTGACTGCCTGCTTGTAAGGTGAGATTAATCAGGCCTGGTGGAATTGGCTTGTTCTGCCTCCCCTCCCACCCCAAAAACCCTCTTCCTTTATGAGCAGTCAAGTTGCAAAACCAGCACTGCTAATGCCTGTTGGTTCATTACAGTGCGTCTCGCTTTCTTCTGCTCTTGTAGCCAGGAGCAGAACAGCACCTTATAACTGCTTCACTCTTAGGTTTTTATTAAATATTCTCTGTAACACAGTTTTAATGCTGATAACAGATTTTTGATAACACCTAAATTGAGTTGCTTTTATTGTATCTGTTCTATTGATGTATGTACAAATAATGTTTGTATACTATTTACTATTAGTTTACCTTGGTGATGAATGCAGATGAAACTGTTGCCGGATTTTCTAGGTAGCATGTTTGATTTTTCTTAATGCCACCGAGCAGCTGATATTTGTTTGCATACTGTACGCATCAAAGTGATGTATAATAGTAGCATGATGGTTAAAGAACTGTTCTGAAGCTAAGCATTGCGGCCAAATTAATTATAACATTTCTTAAATACCACATATTTTTTGCTCCCCTTTATTTCAGTCACGTTCTCATACGCTTAGCTAACGCGGTGCTTTTGAGTAAGGAAGTAGGAAGTTAAGTTTTCTCTTCCCAGCTAGAATTGCCACATGACACTGGATGTGGCAGTGGCTGGCCAGACCTTTGAACCTCTGGATCAGCATGCTTTTCCTTCTGACTAGAAACTACGGACGCCTCATACCTGTTCCCACTTGTATTTTCTGGTTAGCTTGTCCTGTTTTGGATGTAGTCCTAGCCCAGCAAGAAGGCAGACGTGCTGCAGGTCTGTCACAAGGGCAGGAATTCCCTGTGAGCTCTGTCCTCTCGCCTGCACAATCCTGACCACGAAATCGAAGCCATCTTCTGTTCCACAGTGGACTAGAAAGAAAGGCTAGAGACACGCCAACAAGCCCTAGTTAACTACCTGGATTCAGGAAGAGACGGAGTTTACTGAACACCGTTTCTTGTAGTTGGATGTGTGTTAAGACCTTCATAGTAAGTTGTAAAAATTACCATTTTAAAATGCCAGTTGCCATGACAACTGCTAGTTAGTTTAATGGAAGGGAAAAAGGTAACGTGAAAACACCCATCATAACTTGATTTTGGCACAGGGCTATATAAATTTATCGAGTCTCCTTTCTAATTAGTATACCCGTAGGAGAAAGATGTAGTTGAGGGTTTTTCTGTCTGGCCTGACCTTATTCTGTCGTGCATTGCTCGTTACCTGCCAGACTGCGAGCAGAGAGAGCGGCTGAAGCACTGTGTCGTGCCCTGAGCGGCGGCACGGCGCTGTCGGACCAGCTCCGCTGGGGTGAGAATCCGCCTGGCCCAAGCGGTGATAGGAAGCGTATGCCCCTTGGAAAAGTCCTAATTTTCTGGTACTGTTGCTTCAAAGTGACTTGCTTTTTTTTATTCTTTATTTATTTGGAGTTTTGGAAGCAGCTGGCTGGAAGGCTCTCCTAGTGTTTATTTTGCATCTGGTCTCCCTTCCTCTTCCGCTGCCCCCTCTGACGCTGTAAAATGCAGCTCCTGTGTAGCCGCTTTCATGCTGATAATCTGTAGGAGCAATTTTCATCAGCTAAAGTGTAGTGAGAGAAGCAGAAGGCCGTAGCCCTGACGCTAGCACCGGCCTTGCAGAAAGAGCAGTGATCTCTGCCAAACCCCGGAGAGGTGTTTAGCTGCTTGGTCGAGAAGCGATTTCTGAAATTCTTTTGAACGATTTTTGATTTCCAGACAGACTGCTGCTGTGATAGAGCCCCAGTGAACAGGTTTCCCGAATTGCTGGGTCTGGGGGTGACTTTCCAGTGCACTGCAGTATCAGATCTTACCTAATCCACCTTTGCGTGTGCCGACTTGAGTATCGGCAGCAGGCTGGCTGTGATGCTGCTGGAGTTTTGTATGAGCTAATGAGCGCTTTTATATGGATCTGTTTACCTAGCTGTGTTTGAAAGACTTCTTGTGAAAGTTTTAAAAGTAAGACTTACGTAACGCCTAATATCACGCTATGGAGCGGGTGACGTTTTGAATCTGCAGCCGGACAACTAATGTGATCTGAAATACAGCTGGAAATCAGTGTTGAGCTCTTGCTTTGTGCCTGGAGATCAAGACGCTTTTTAGTTAGCCTGAAATTATTCTTGGCTAGCTTTATTTTTCATGTTGTTGAATCCCCAGGAAATTCCAGCCCTGCCCCAAGCACGGCGCAGGGTGCCAGTTCGGTAACCGCAGCCCCTCTCCGTTAGCGGAGTGGCAGCTCACAGTTGAAATATGCCGGTTTTTAGGCACAGAGACCTCACAGAGACCGTTAATCCAGTGGTGGTGCTTCTGTGCCCGTCCGTTCCTGGCTGTGCCGCCAGCTTCTCTACGGCTTAAATTACTAGGAATCCCCCTTAAAAACTTGGGAGGGAACAGCGCCGGGTCTACCGGCCAACGCTGAAGCCGGGAGGGGTTTCGACCTCCTCTGATGTCCGCGGAGGGGAACGGTGTGTGCTTGGAGCCAAGCTCGCCAGTGGTGTCTCACCAACACTCTTCCTAACGCTGCTGCTTCTCTCATCTTCCTCTTCGTTTTGTGTTGGTGGTGCCCTCTTTCAGAATAAGATCTGCCCAGGAAGCTTTAGCGCCGTATCTGAGCGGTAGCCGTTCCTGGCGCTTGGAGCCCGTAAGCTCCTTTGAGCCCTGTCTAGGGTCCGGGCTTGCCCGAGAACGTCTGAAGGTGTCAGTGGGTCCTGGCGGGTCCAGCGCGCAGCTCCCCCTCCCGCACGGCTAGCAGGCTAATTACGAGCGCAGTCCTCTTGCTACTGAATATTACAAGCTTGTTTATTCGTTTAAACTCAAATGGTGATTTCATTATCCTCTTTGAATTAAGGGTGAGGCGCTCAGGCAAGTGTTGGTCAACCGTTACTATGGCAACGTCCGACCGGCGGGAAGACGAGAGAGCCTCACGAGCTTTGGCAATGGCCCACTCTCTGCTGGAATTACGAGCGCAGTCCTCTTGCTACTGAATATTACAAGCTTGTTTATTCGTTTAAACTCAAATGGTGATTTCATTATCCTCTTTGAATTAAGGGTGAGGCGCTCAGGCAAGTGTTGGTCAACCGTTACTATGGCAACGTCCGACCGGCGGGAAGACGAGAGAGCCTCACGAGCTTTGGCAATGGCCCACTCTCTGCTGGAGGCGCTAGTAAAACCGGGGGAGGAGGTAGGACGCGCTGCCCGCTGATGAGCGTTGTATGACTCTGCCCTGTTGTCTGTGTCTGTTTCTGCATGACCGGCTGAGTATCTTACAGGTGAAATAGCCTTCCCCCCGCCCCAGCCTTTCCCTGCCTCCTGTTCTGTTGTGTGAAAATCACAGAAAAAGAAATTGTGCACGGTGGATGGTGAAGTCCTACTTGCATGTTGGTCCTGGCTTTGGAAACTTCAATATGTTTTAACGCCCCTTGAGGGATTTCATTTTAAGCTGAACTGAGCATAGCTGTCCTGTCTCTAATCATGTAAACTGTTTTTTATTCATGCAGATGAGTAGCGTGTGTGTGTGTTTGTTTTTTTTTTTTTTTCCCCTGACTGCATTTGAGAAAATATTTGAAAATGAAACAGGCAGAGCTTTATATACTCCCAGAGACTTTGTTGGGCTGGCTTGATTTTGTGGTTTTGCTTTGAATGAATTTACTTAAGAAATTTGATCAATTTAGTATTTACAATAATACTGGGGAAGTGTGCTCATAGGGAAGTCAGATTAACCATATCTAAAACAAAAGCATTTCATTGTATTACAGAGAGATTGCAGGGTAGGATGAGCAAAAATTACATTTGAAGTCAACTGTAAAGTGCAGCTTATTTAATTTGAGACCATTTGCTAAAGAAGTCATGCACACTTATCAAAATATAATTCAGTGGGTTTTGCCTCAACATAAAAGACTGTCAGGAATCCTGTTGAAAGCACGCTTGATCAGGAATAATAAAAAAAAAAAAATATATTCCCCTCCACCTTTTTCTGAAATTGGTATAGATTACATTTATCCTTGTGTAATGCTGCTGTCTGTCATACTCTTCCACTTACTAGATCACTTCAGTTCCCATTCGTCCTGCCTCTTCCGTAAACTCTTACGCACTTAGGTTTAGTCTATTTATCTGTGGAGTTTTATGGTTCTGTACAGCTCTTTGCCATCTACTGGAATTTGCCTTGCCTTTTCTCTATCACTTCATTGGTACTGCAAAGCCTTCACTTTTTCTTTGTATCTCTGAATCCATGCTGTTTCCAGAATTATCTTCCAGTACATCAGTCCCCCTTTCCAGCTCCTCTTACGGATGAAGTAGTAGTTCTAATAGCTGTTTCTCACTGTCAGCCAAGGCGGTCCTCCCTCAGACTTGAACATGCTACAGCAGTGTGAGGTACCCATATCACAATGTGTCCTCTCTGTGCTTTTAAGCTGCAAACTTTTCCTTGCAGAGTTGCTATGTGTTGAGGTCATTGCCGTTAATAAACGTGTGTACCATTCGAGATAGGTTAATTGTTTAAACCAGAAGAGAGATCCCATCACCTTAGAAGGGAAGGATTTGAATCTCAGGCTGTCTGTCACGATCACCTTTATAGGAGGAAGCTCCGGATCAAGTTCAATGAGCCGAGGTGAGATGAGTTTGGCAGATGTTCAGTGTCATCTGGATAAAGAAGGTGCATCCAACCTGGTTATAGACCTCATCATGAATGCCACCAGTGACAGAGTCTTTCATGAGAGCATCCTCCTAGCCATTGCCCTTCTGGAAGGTGGGAACACTACAATACAGGTAGGAATATGGAAAACATCAACCTTATAACTAGGACATGTTGGAAAGGGAAATGTTTTATGAAATCCAAGAAACTTGAGCTAAAAAAGATGGGAGGGGAATTACTAAATAATCTTTTACCTGTAATTAAGGGAAATATCAGTCCTTACCATGCAAAAAAAGCTTATTAAATGTTTGCGTGGGAACTAGGTATTTTTATTTCCCAGAGCCATATAGAAGAATGTATAACAAAATAGCTTTGCATCTTAAGTTAGTGTGACTGTTTTCATGAGTAAGTTTAAGCAACCACAAGTTGCTCTGAGACTTTTACTAGGTCTTAGATTTCAGACCCAAATGTAAAATATAACACTTTATGGTAAACTCCAGATCATCACCATTCTCCTATGATCTTGCTGTTCTTGGCTTCTGTGTTTTAAGTGGTGCAATTCTCATACAGAGATATCAAATCATCACTTGGACCTGCCAGCCTGAGGTTTGTATGGGTTTTAATAAGCATACAGCATGTAGCTTGTTACATTTCAGAAATATAGTATTCTGATACACATACAAAGTAAAAACCTTACTATGGCAAAAACATGCCTGCAACTATTATTGAACATGTAATATCTTAGAACATGTGCAAAGTCAAAAGAATATTTGCAGGCAGCCTGTTTCCATCTTGGACAGTTCAGAGTAGGCTGGACTCTATGCATAGATATTGCAGAGAGTATTATCCCTTTTCCTCTCCCCCACTGCCATGTGTCTGCCATGTGTCTCACATGTCTGAACAAAACAGTCAGGGGTTTGTTTAAGAAGGTCATTTTCCCAGATAGTTGTGCTCTTTCTGAGAAGTGATATTTCCAAGCTTTTGATACATGTGACTGGTTTAGGATTATAATTTGAAGACATTTGTCCTGCATCCTAATTATAGGCAGTTGCCAAAATGGACAGTCCTGTTCTGGCTAGCTCCTTGTCCCCTCCTTTGTGTAACTTCTGCAGTTGTGGAGCGCATTGAATCGAGTTGCTAATCTAATGGACAACCAGCCTGACAATGAAAACAGACGTGATCCCACAGCAGAGGCATTGCTAAAACCTGACCAGAGATGTGTGGAAAAGCAGGACTGTTCTGGATAGCGGTACAGGATGAGATTTGATGAAGTGTAACACGGAGCTGAATCCTGACTTGTTATACTTGATGATTTATGGTTAAAAGACTTGCACTAGATCTCTATAGCACCACTGCCTCTTCATGCCTTTTCAGGGCATGGTAAATTTTTGTTGAGAGGAGAGAGGACGTTCTGGGGATGCTTCTTCAGTCTCTGAATCTGTAGTCATTACCCTCTTTTTATTTTTTCCTATATATATGCTCTAGAGACAAGGTGCAAAAGACAAGGTGGGACTAGAGCATTTGAAGTCCCACATCACCTTAAAATGCAATGAAGGGAATAACATTCCTTGGGGAGAGTCACTCCTCTTAAGTTTCCTGCTCTTCTCAAACGTAAGGGTATCTGAGTTTTCATCTTCCTAGCTCACGGGTAGCCTCAGGTAACCTCACACACTGTCACACTGGAAGAAAAAACAAATTCTGCACCAGCCGCACACAGAGAGATCAGTTGCTTACCCTGGAACTAGGACTAATGGACTGAGTAGAGTCACTTCCCTGCTGTATGCAAATCCTTGTTAGAGTTGGAGACAGGTTTCTTGGCTCATTTGGTCAAAAAAAAAAAACAACAGGGAAGTGTCCGATCCTTCTCCGCAGACGCCCCTTTCACCAGAAAAAGGAGACTGTTCTGTTTGTATTTGCTGTCTAGAGCTACAAGTTGGGAGTCTGTAAAATAACTATGTGGTTAGGAAGGAGCTGTTGGCATAAGGCGGTTATAGCAAATCACATGATGCTTTGACATCCGTGCAGTGTGATCCTGCCAATTTCTGTTACGCTCTTGCCTTTTTAGATATTACTTCCGGCCAACCAGAGTAACTATTTTCCGTCCTTTCCTGCTCAGGAGTAAGTGCTTAGTGGTTGTCTTTACCTTCAGAAAAATGTTCTGGGCAGGCAGCAGTTATTCTGCACGTATGTGTGTATGTGCTCTAATGCAGTAGTGAAGGGTTTGGAAGGGAGTTCTAATTTAGATTGCTTTTAAGTACAGAATATTTTATGACCAAATCACTTGCTGAGGCCTACAGCTAATACTGTAAGGTTGTGAGGTCTTGGACACACCCAGGAGCTCTTACTCATGCATGCAAAGTATAGACTAAACTTTACTGAAAATATCCCATGAAGAGGTTGTAATGTAGCTATTCTGAGCTCTAGCAATCCATCAGCCTCATAGGCAAAAGGCAAAACAGATGTATTAATGTAGAGAGATGTTCCCTTACTTGCCCCTCCCAATGATACCTTGCAAGCTCCTGGGGGCCTGAGCTTCCTTGTTTTGCTTGCACTGTCTCTAGCACATGTGAACCCCCTTAATCAGGACCACTACAATAGCAATAAAGGTCAGCACATATTCAGCTCTCCAGTCTTTCTGTATTATTTGTGTCATGAAAGCCAAGTAAATAAAACTTTAAAATGTAGAAAAATGCCAACCACCAAGCTTAACTTCTGGGAGAACAGCTGGCTCAATGTTGGTGAATCAAAATGAATGTGGAGGTTTACTCATTAGTAAAATCATGATTTCAGTTCTGTATCTCCCAGAGTAATTGCTGAGTGATGTCCAAGTTAAACCAGCATCTTGACACAGTAAATTCATATAACCGAGCTTTTCTCTCTCCACATAGTAAGAATAGCATATCTGCTCACCCAGAAAATACAGAAGGCTCTAGGTGAAACCACGCTATTGGGGAATGCTACCTTTACAGAAGAACTACATGAGGTAGTCACTAGTCTGCATAACTGTAAATCACCTTTTTTTTTTTTTTTACACAGCAGTCTTTCACTACAGCGCACAGAAAAGATTTAATATAGAGTACAGCACTGTGATGTCTCCTATTAGTAAGACTTTATTTTTGCAAAATGCACTGCAAAAACTTTCTGACTGCTTATGAAAACTAGTCTCACTCATGAAAATGAACCCGTTAACTTTCTGTGGTCTTTTATCCCGGTCTTCCTCTCATCTACAGTTTTCTTCCAAGTTTTACAGATAAGATAGGACTTCACAACCCTTGCAATCTGCAGTGTGGATTTTCTGAAGTTCTGCAGCAGTTTCCAGTAACTGCCAGTGGAATAGTCATCTTCAGTCTCTGGACTAATAACTTTTGTTCATTTTGCATCAGATATGTTTGTCATTGTGAAACTTGCGCTAGCCAGATCAGCCAGCTTTGTCACTGAGTTTTAACACAAACAGTTTATCTTCATTTCACAATGTTATGGTTATTATTAGCAGCTCTCGGTATATAGTATTCTAAACAAGTTCATTCTGTGATCCATCTGAATAAATTTTACCAAACTTAAATTGCTTACCTACAGCCCTTGGAGAACAGGAAACTAGTGGGATAGAGACAGGTTATGTTAAAAGGTTTTTTGGCAGTGAAGGTAGAAGCGTTGTCCCTGCATGGCATTTTCTTAACTCCAGGCTTTCACACGGGAAATGTGTTCAGCCTGAAGTTAAGCAAAAGGTTGGTACCGACACACAGGAACTTGCATATGATGATTGTAACCTGGTTAATAATGGGAGTTCCCGGGTAACTCCCATGCGCTTCAGTGGAAGAATAGATCCCTGTGATGTTGGAAATGGATAACTGGAATAGGTGTTACCGTTTCGTTAGGTACATATGGGGCCAATATTAAGGCTAGGCAAAGTAGGTGGTTACCAACTCCAGTAAAAAAGCAAATCTAGAAAGGTTGCTTGTTATAACTGGCAAGAGTGATTTTTTTATTGGAGTGTTAAGAAAATGAATGTGGGGGAGAAGCAGGACTCGTTTGTCTTCGGGAGCCAACTAAGCAGGCAGTATCGGGCATGCTTAATCCCGTGCTGCCCTGTTCTGTTAAGGGGGTGACGTGATGTGGACGTGATAAATGCACTCTGACTCGGTGAGTCTGGGGAAGGACAGAGGTCTTTGCCTGGTTAAAGCCCTCTGGATGGCACCTTTTCTAGATTATTCCTGGTTTTTAGGGTACAGTTAGAAGCACTGTCAGCTCCTGTGGTGGTAGAGGTGCTGCTGGCAGGTGTGCAGGTGCCTCCCGTCAGCTCCTCGCTGCTGTTGGGTAAGAGCTCTGGTCTGCGCTGGGAAGCGTGCCCTGGTTTATGAGGCGACAGAACGGCGGGTGGAACCATGGGGTTGAAACCGGGCAACAAATGAACCTGACAAACGCTACTGTTCCCTGAGCTGAAAATTGCATAAACCCTGCTATTAATTTCTATAACCCTCAGCGTGCGCCTTGCGAGCGCTGGCTCGGGCAGCGCGGCTCGGCCGCTCGCCGGTGCGGTGCAGTGCGGGAAGCCTCTGCGGGCCCCGCGGGTGCCCGGGCACTGGCCCCTGCTGGGCAGCCTGACCCTGCTTTGCTATTGCTTTTGCTCATAGGCGAGCTTAATTTACAGCTCCTCTTCTCCTTCAGAGGAGATCAAAGGATAGTCCGTTCCCTGCATAAGTTGCCGCTTGGCAGATTTACCTCGATTAAAGTAACCTCGGTAAATGAGTGACAGTGGAGGAAATTGCTGAAGACTGCTCCTGTAACACTTGTCCCTCATCTGCCAAATAAAAATTATATGCACCATATACTCTGCTTCACCTCCTTTGAGTTTCAGGTTTCCTGGGTCTGTGGAAGTTGATAACAAGTAAACTCCCTTACATAACTTCCTCTCCATGGAGATTTTGGCCAGCTTGTTTAATTAGGGATCTTCTCAAAAGTTAGATTACGTGACAAATTACCTCCACACCCATTGATGTTTTCAGCAAGGGAAGGGAAGGGAAGGCTGATAGCTTGAGTTTAAGGTGCTTGAGAGCCTTCCCAAGGCAATGTGCTGCAGAGCTACCGCTGCACGGTGCAATAATGGCTTTCCCCCTCCACCTCCAGTTCTTTCCAA